TCATTGTTACCGTGTCAACAGTGAAATTAATCAAAACAACAAAATCGTGAAGTTAAATTCCAGTGAAAATAAATGGTTTTACATTATTAGAAGCTGTGACTTCTATTAAAATGATACAATGCAACAGAGTAGATACAGCTTCTATTAGAGCATTTACGCATATAGAACTGGTGAGTTTTGGTTCTCAATTGTTTAGATTGGGTGCAGGATTGGGTACAAAGATTGGCGGCGACTTCTAATACAGATTTTAAGGTAGTAACTGTGAATATCATAGTATCAGCTCGCAAAATATATAACATTTTCAATTGTTAATGTCTGTAATTCAACAAAAATGTTTAATATTTATGATTTTTTATGTGGTTATTTTAACATTTGTTGCTTAAAAGTTTTTTTATTTATTTTTTCATGGTGAGGATGACATGTCCTATTGTGAACAAAAAAACTTTGTTTTGTCGTATCCGGAAGGATATTTGGAAATATCTATGAGAGCTGTGATAGGGATTTTGCACATGTTTGCATAATAATATATTGCAATGTTAAAGAGGTTCAGCATTGAGCTCAGAAAATAAATACAGTTATTTATGGATCGCCAAATGTCTCGTCAATAACTAAACCCAAACATCTCATGATTACGCTATAATTTTAACACTTATATTATGCCAATAGCAGATAGTTACAAATGAATTTTCCAAGTTTATTTTCACTTGTCAGGTGCTGCATAGTTTGTACTTGCAGTGAACAAAATGTGCTGTCTTTATCGCACATTTGCTTTTGCAGCGTATTTGCTCTATTAGAAGTGCATTTTGATAGAAACATAAATAAACCAAAAAGTAAATTCAATGTACCGGGGATCATTAAAATATGTCTTATTTTGACCTCTACAAATACAGCAAATAAATTATTTGTATTCATTTATAATTCAGTGGTTTTTATGGTAAATGATCAAGGAGTGTTTTATTATTTTTGTCTATCAATTTCTAGTTTCTAATAACAGTTTATAGTCCCAAAGAGGGTTTACAGCTAATAAAATTCCTGAATAATTTCCCCTGAGTGACATAATAATTTGTTTGTTTTATTCATGTCACTGTGAGGTCACATATAGTGGGAATGTACACTCAAGTCATCACACATTTCCCCAAAAAATCTGTGTGTGTGTGTCACAGTTTCTTATTAGGTTTTAGAAATAACAATTTCATGAAAACTCGAAAAAAGGCAATTCTAAAATAAATGTTTAAAAATGTTAAATTGACCAGAAACTGTTTTCTTTTTATTTGAATTTTATTTTCATTAAAACATTTCTTCAGTGAAAATAGCAAAAATTAATTCCAATCGTAAATAAAGTATTTTACAGTAATTCACATGTGATAAACAACATATAAGTCTCCAGGGTCTTTTTGTTAGCACTGACTGCACTTATCTATAATTGACAGTACTGTACCATGATGTATAGCACTATTGTTTCTCTATGATCAACAACACTAACACAAACTAGTAATTAAGGTGTTAAAACGTACAGTTACTACATGTACAATAAGGTTATTTGTATCACTTTCCAGTCAGATTGTAACAATGTATCTCTGTGTTGTTTTCTACAGGTATTAGTTGACTCATCAAGACATCAGTATAGTGAATCAAGAATCATGTCAATCGCGTCACTATGAAGCAGGAGAAGAAAATTGAGAATAAACTGGATAACACCCTCAGTGGTGACAACGCCTCTACCACTGAAAATGCCCATATTGGTGACAACAGTCGGACTAGTGACACCAGCAGAGCTAGTGACAACATCCATCCATTCCAACCGCATCAGTTCAAAAGAAAACAATGTGCGAAATGTTTCAAATCCGAAGCAGAACACAACGACTCATCTGAAACTGTAAAGACATCTGTTACTGCAAAAATAATTGATTTGAAGTCCTTCCATGTTCACAGTAGTTCTATTGAAAATAATGAGGTTAATGCTGCCAGTGTTATTCCTAAAGAGAGTAATAATGGTGCAGCAGTTACAAACAATGTGCCAGGAAGTGACCAACAAAGAGTTGCTAATAACTTATCAGCTACACACGGTGATCAAGATAATTTTATAAGGGGTAGCAAACTAAGGCGTCAAGTTCCAGTTACAAAGAAACAAGAGCATAACAATCTGAGTTTGGTGAAAAGTAAACAAAGGAGTGAGTTCTGGCATGGTGAAGATTCTTGTTCTGAAAATGGTAGTGTGATTGATAACAATGAAGTGGTGGAACTCCTAGCTTATCGATTCGAACCTGTTAATTCCACAACTGCAGGACCCAGTACTCCAAAAACAAATAACACAAAAACAGTTTCTAAGCACACTCCGAGCAAAATGTCTTCTATGTCTAATAATATCCTGGTCTCCAAACCAATTTCTACGAAAGCACATGTGCCTCCAGGACAAACAGAATCAGCTGCTAAATTAACATCGACTGTTAGTTTAAAGAAAACTAACAAATCAGGAATACCTGTGAGGAAAGCAGAAGAACCACAAGTGTCTGAGTTTCAAAAAGTTGCCCAAAATCTGAGACCTGTTTCCAAAATCCAACCCAGTACAAAAGCAGAAGAAGGGATTACAACATTTCGTGTCTTGTCAGGAAATAAAGGAGATTCCTTTGATGTTGAACAAAGGAAGAAAATCATTGACTCTAAATCTTCTTTTGCATCCGACACACTCTCAAAAACTGCTAAGACTGCATTTGGATCACATAAGCATGACACACTTCCTAAAAGGTTGAAAGAACCTTCCCGTCCATCTGTCAAACCATTAGCTGCAGAGGATAGAAACAACTCTGATCCTGAGCTGTTTCAGTCTCTACAAAGTGAACTAAAAGTTGTTTCAGTTTTTAATCAAGAAGACACTGATAATGAAGTTACCTCGCACAGCCAGGCTGTAACAAGCAGTCAAATTAGCTCAGAGATTTATTTTGGGAAGTCTAACAAACCTAATATTACGTCATTACGTCATTATGATGCACCAGCTGAAACTGAGCCTAATGCTCCAGGCAATGTGGTTATATTAAATGCGGATGGTTCTGTATCACATTTGAATTCATCACCACCACGTGTTACATCAAATAGTCCTAACAAGTCAGCAAGTAAATCAAAGCGTCCTCCATCCATGTTTCCTTCTAAAGAGAAAGCATCACATCATTTTGCTAAGCCTTACAGTGTTGTTGATATCAATCCATCATCTAATTTTGTATGGCCATATAAAATTGTTGATATTGCAACACATCCACCGGAGAAATACCCAGAGAATGAAAACAACCAACCACCTAGTTTGCCAAAATCCCAACCTCCATCAGACAATTTTTCCCCATCAAGGTTTCCAAAACCTAATTTTTCTTTTCCAGATGTTGGACAAAATAAGTCACCATCTACAAGTTCCTCGATAAGCCCTCCTCCCTTTCCTGTCATACTGCATGAAGAAAAAGTTACAAGTCCAAAAGAACGAGGCTATGCTAAGCCAAGTAAGGTTGCTATTTTCATCGGGAATAATGATTATGACAACCTGCCAGGTGGAGCCAATCAAGCAGATGATAATTTAAATTCAGCAATCACTGTAGTCACTGGATATGATAATCTGGATGGGATGTGGCCCATTTCTGAAGCCGAAGAAAACAAAAGAGCCAAATCTAAGCGAGAAGTGGAGCAAGAAAAAGCTAAAAGGAGAAGTGATGAATTATTTCAACAAATTGAAAGCAATAAAAGTGATGGTAGTAAGAAGAACAAAGAAGATACATTGGCAATGGGATATGAAAGACCTGTGAGCGTAGTCTCATCTAGCAGTTCAGGCATTGTAAAACAGAAGTCCACATCAGACCCTGATATCAGTGAAATCAGTTCATCAGGATATGATTATTTGCAGCAACCAGTGTCCCCCAGATCTGCCAGTGATCAGAGCCTAGTGCAATCTGTGAGTGAAGAAGCTGAAGAAGACTTACCTCCATCACCAAGACGACGTACATCATCTATGCCTGATTATGCTAAGGTTAAAAAAGATACCTGTGATAGAAGACAGAGAGCAAAAACTGTAGAAGTGTCTCCAACTCATACTGAGCAAGCTAAGATGGAAACTAGGATGAAACCCAAAAGAGCTGCCCCACAACCACCCCAAAAATCTGTGAGCAAAGAAAACAGAGCATTGTCTCCTTCAAGAATTCCAGAACTAAAAAACAGAAATAGAGCATTATCACCATCTAGGAATGATGTATTGAACCCACCTACAAGACATCCAGATGCAACAGCAGAAAGTTTGCCACGGTACCCACCACCGCTTCCTCCCAATAGTAAGAATTCAGGAACAAGTTCCAATTCAAGAGCTGGACATCATGCAAGTTCAGTTCAGCCACAGACAAATTCTTCTCCAGGTAAAGCTATGCACAGAGCTAGATCTCCAACTAGAGGGACTGCACAAAGAACAATGTCTCCAAACAGAGGTGCTATTCCCAGAGTGTCTTCTGAAGTTCCAGGTACTGTACAGAGAGTGGCCTCTCCCACAAGAGAAGGAAAGAGAACTATGTCTCCGAACAGAGGTGCCATGCACAGAACAACTTCACCCAATAGAGATACAATAGCCTCACCTGTACAATGTGCTGTACAGAGGAAAATGTCACCTACTAGAGATGCTGTCATGAGAAGAGCACCACCAACGAGAGGCATCGCTCAGAGGACAGCCTCACCCCCTAGAGGCATTGCACAGAGAACTGCATCACCAACACGAGATGCTTTACAAAGAACATCATCACCTTCAAGACCACAGTCCCCACCTATTATGATTCCCAGACATGATATCACTGAAGAACCATCAACTTACCCATCAACACCTCCAAAAGAGGAATTTATAAGACATATACCTGGCTTATTGGCAGATTCACCAACACGGCATTCTTCTAGCCCACCAAGAACAGATCCTAAAAACAAATTACCTAAGTTTTCACTTAAAAAATTGCTTGGCAAGAGAAAGGAACCTGAAACGTGTAGCCCAGAGGGAACTGTGAATACTGCAGCAGTGCAACGCTGGTTGAACCAACAACCAATGATGTACCTCTCAGATGAAGAAGCTGCCATTTTAGAACTTCCAGCACTAGCTATAGCCGCTGAGCTGGCATTAATTGAAGCTGAGGAAGCTGCTGCAGATAAGTCTAGTAGAGACTCGCCAATGAAACCAGACAGTGATGCTTCTAAGAAACGCCAAGCACCTCCACCTCCTCCTACTGTACCAGCTGTTCTGAGACAGCCACATAGTTCTGAATCTACTGAAGGTTCACCACAGTTACAGAAAGCTTACTCATTATCACCTCCTACAATACGTAGATTGAAAGAACACCATGATAGCGACCCAGAAGCAACATATCAAAATACAGGTAAGTACTCCTTCTCTTTGCCAAATGACAAATCAAGTATTGTTGAGATCTGATAAGAATATGGAAATTAAACTATTGAATATCATACTTTTTTTCCCACCAACATTTTTGTGAAACATTTTGCAAATTTTTTTTTAATTTTGGACCAAAAGAACACAATCAGGTCTTGATCAATTTATTTGGAAGAAATATTTTTTAAAAAACTGTTGTCAGTTAGTTTGAAACAGGTGACAAATGTTGTCCTTTAAAACTGCTTCACATTTTTGTCAATTTACATTTATATAGTGTGGAAAAAATTCTTATTATTTATTCTTATTTACTGTTTCTTTTTATATTTAAATTCTCCTCAGAATATTTGTCTTGTCATTTCTTCATTCATTCAGTAAATGTTGAATTGATTTAATAAGATAACATTTATCTAATCATATATTTCATATGTTTTGTAGGTAAAAGCCGTGCAGAGGTCATGTCACCAAAGAAGCCTAACAGAAGAGAAAGAAACAAAACTACTGGATTTGAAGACTTGCCATCAAGACGAAAAGCCCCTGAACCACCACATCAGCGCAGAGGAGACCATATTTATGATGAAATACCTTATGATAAAAAGAGAAAGGCCCCTTCACCACCAGGGAAGAAGTCTACACCAAAGAAACCTCCTAGAAAGCTATCATGTGAGGAGGTTCCAATACCTCCCCCAAGGCACAGATCCTATAGTAGTAGCGATCAGGTTAACTATGAAGCTGAAGCCAATAGTAGTGATGAACATGTAATTGTTATTGAGCAAAAAGAAGTACATTTGAAATCTGCCATGAAACACCATGATAATCATGAGAAAATAGAAGGCAGCACACCTAAGAGACCGGTCCGCATTGTAGCTCCATCAGATGAAGATGAAACCATGGAAGATGAAGACGATACATTAGATCCATCCTATGCTAATCTATATGCAATGCTGAAACAAGCAGCAAAACTAGCATTGAGACAAGGAGAACAAAAAAGATGGTCTTCATCTTCTGATGAGACAAGCAGTAGCAGTCCAAGAACTGGCAAAAGACCAGTTCCTACTCCTCGGCCCAGTGCTAAGACAGCTGAAACAATAGATAGAGCATTAAGTCCAGTGATGTTTGCAGAAGATTCTTCAGATGATACTGAGAGCAACAGTAAAGCAAATTCTTCAAAACTTGATGAAAGTGCATCTACTGCAACTTTGTTAGGCAGCATATCGACGCAAACCACAACGCTGACCGGACAGTGGACCAGACGCATTGAACAAACTGGCGAGATTAATGATCTGAATCTAAGTACTTTGAAAAGGATGACAACATTTTGGAATGTAAGCCAGGAAGGTCATTTAGATGTTGTTGATGTCTGCTGGAATGATTTGAATCTGCAAAGCAATGATGCATGCTACACTTCGGCTAATACAATTATGTATCCAGTTATACATTGTACCTATCCGGATAGATTACTTGCAGTACAGGTATGTATACAATGTAAATGGGTAACTGATTGTTGAATTAGAATTATAAAAAAATTAAATTGGGTTAGCGAGTTGACTACTGGGGAAATGAAGATTCAAGATGTCACAAAAAATCATACATACCCAGTATGGCATATTGCCTTAGAAGGCAGACTGATTGGTAAATCTTCAAGTGAATACATGATTGATTTTCTTTGATTGTTATGACACTGTAGTCAGTTTATTAATTAATCCCTTTGGGTTGCTTTTTTTGCTTCCATTGCCACTGAACCAGTGTGTGCTCTAATCCAATATGATGCCCGGAGTTTCTTTTTGACACAAGTTATGCGCACAAGTTATGCTGTCATAACAATGACACAACAGAAAATCGTAAAATTCCTATTTTATCAACAAAGTAAATCAGAAAAACAACAGTAAAGTTTGTGCCTTCAGAAGTTCCATACAGCCACATACAATATGTATATCTTGAATACATCCAGCATTCACCAAGGTGACTCAACATGATTTTTTGTTATGACTTAAGATTCCTATAAAATCAGTCTTGTTAGAGGTCACACTGCACTGGACAGATGGAAGTTATTGGTCAAATTTTCTGGCAACTCCCGATATGTTTTTGCCAAGGGCCTGGATTATTGTATCTATGAAGTAATACAGTGCAATACAGTTTTAATATACAATAATATAATACAACTTTTTGTTTTTTGATATAATATATGAAAATTCTATCAATGGATAAACTAACTAAAAAAAGTCATTTTAAATAGCAATCTGACACAGTAGATAGTTACTAGCATATTTTGTTTTGATTTCTTTTGTAATTTTTTTCCCCAAAATTGCATCAATTTGATACAATTATTTTGCTGGCAGTGTATGATAACACATTTGTTTTGAGGCTAAATTGTGAGTGCAAGTCCAAATTGCATATTATATACAAAGCATCCCTCTAAACAAAGTTCTCTTTTTCAGATATGCACCAAAGCTGAGAGTGAAGCTTCATTTCTTCATGGAGTCCAGATATGCAGATCAGTTGTGCCGCATCCCAACGTCTTGCATGTCCTGTCGGCATTTACAGATCACGTACCAGAGAGCTTACTGGGAATTGAGCCAACATCACCCAAGAATGGCAAGGTGCTGGAACCTGGTACAAGCAGTCCTGTGGGAGAACTCGTAGACACGTCTATTGTGCTGACAAGCACTGTACCCAATACCCATACAGATCATTATGTCAAACATTCCAAAGAACTACATGAGTTCTTACCGGATAAGTATGAACACAGTGTTTGTCTGTTACTACTGCAGCTATTGCAAGGATTGCATCATTTACAGCTTCATTGTGTAACACATGGTGCCATCAAACTCAATAATCTTCTCCTGATGGATTCAAAGCTGCCCGGCGGAGGAACACGACTTGTTATAACAAACTTTGATTCAGCAAAACAGGCAACTGAGAGCGTGGATGACGCTCTTGATGATCGTAGTCATGAATTTGAAACTGGGTTATTGATCTACGAGTTTTTACATGAGAAGAGTCCGTTCATTACCAAGCCACTTCTCATCACGCAAGATTACAGTCCGTCAGATTTGCCACCACTGCCACAGCTTTCATGTTATTCGAGTGGACTGAACAGACTCGCCGGTGAGTTGCTGAGAAGACAGCCACAAGACAGACTCTCTAGCAAGAATGCTATTTGTTTACTGCAGTCTCTCTTATGGGGTCCTTCAAGTCACATGATGAACGGCTTACAAGAAGTCACTTTCCATAAATGGTTGGATCTAGAGCGAGCTAAGGCAGTTAATGTGATCGCTGAGAAACACTTGGGTTCACTTTTCTGTCAAGAACAGGGTCTAAGTTTAGAAGATCAGCTTCGCTGTCAGTTTCTGAGTGAGACTTCTGTACCAGATTTGATGAACAGTTATAAATTATTACATAACTAAAACTGAAGTAAAGTTTCTTTTGGTCAGTAATATTGTGATGAATAGAGGAGTTCCTGTTCCTTGGTTGCTTTCTGTTACCATGCACACAAAAGAGGAGTGAATCATTGCTTCGCATCCAATCAGCAAACCCCCCCCCCTCTTCTTGTCATGCAATAACTACCGGTAACATAGCAACAGGCTACTCAAGACATGTCTAGAGACAGTATGAATAATGTCACATCAAAAGTTTACATTTTAGTTCTGATTCAGACTGTAATGTTGCACACTGCTTTATGTGGGTTCCACTAAAGATGTATCATGGTTACGTTCTATATAGTAAATGTATCTCATCGTAACGCTCTCGCTTGTTACCCCATCACTTTTTCATCAATAATAATATCTTGTCTTAAGATATGTGCGTGTAATCTGTAAATATTTGGGGTTGAGGTTTGCTGTAATTTTAAATTATTTACAATACTCATGTGCTGCTTGTTTTTTATTACGAATGTATTATGTTCATAATTTCGCAAGAAATGCTACGATGTGTGAACAGTCAATGACTCGTTTTCTTTCTTCTTCAACAGCATTTTTGGAGTTGTTTTTTTCTCTGAGAATGCCACATAAACAAAAGTTTTATATTTAATTCATACTTACTGGAATATAAATAATAATATATACAAATTTTAATATGAAAACGGATGTCTTCATTGCGTGAGTTGATCTTCCACGTTCTATACAACACTGGATACAAAATCTTCCGAAATTTACATCAGGGTTTTATTTTATTTTTATTTTAAACCTTGTAATTATATACCCATAAGGTATTTGTCAAAGCCTAGAATCCATGCAACATTCTCCGCTTAATGCCTAGGTACAATGCTAGTAATATCTCATTAATCATTAACTAATGTCTTATTCAATGTCTGTTGCTTACCGGTAGTTCAAATTCATGCATTGAATATTCTATGTTCATTTGTCAGTTTAAAATGTTTTCATCATGGTGTGATCTGTGTTCACACTGACAGGATTTTTACTAGGATATTACTAGCACCGTATCTAGGCATTAGTAAAGGGGTATATAATAAAGTGGAATGCCACATAGTTTCCATCTAGCTGAAGCTACTCATCTTGTAAAGTATTTGTAATTAATAACATAAATGAAATACAAATGACAATGTACTTACATTTGTGTCTTCTTTTCACTGTCAAAGATAATGGACCAACAAGTTTTTTTTAGAACAATGTGAGGGCGCCATAACTTAAACCCAGCTCTTGTGATTTGCCATAAACTAACATGTTGAGTACTGTGGATCACTTTATTTTAGTAATCCAGGAATACATCTAAATGTTGGTTTACATGCGCTTCTATTTAAGAAAATACAGTAACTGTGAAAAAAAATGTTTTTTATAAGCAATAAATTCAGATGTAACCCCAAGATTATTACTGGGACAAGTACATTTCTCTTTCTCTGGATTTTAAAAACTGTTCGCTCATTCTATTTTTAGCTATTTATTATTTCAAATTTGTAGTTGTTTATATTTTATAGTTTAACTTTCTCATCTTTTATATTTTCTTAAAATGTTTCAATGCAATATTAAATAGTATATATATTGTCATTACAGTGTAATCTACTTACATGTCAACTGTTTCCCTCTGTCAAGATTAAATTTACTTAATTCAGTGGGAAAAGTGAAAAAAAGTGTCTTAAACTGTATAAATTTAGCCAGTACTGACTGAATATGTAGAGTAAGTGAAATATCTCTGTCTTCTTTCCATTATCTCTGTTCAGTGACATTAGATGTAGAATGTTACTTATAAATTTGTTCAATTCTTTATATGGTCAATTGGTGTGACACAGTGTATGTTTGAAAGGACAATGCATGCTGGGAGTGCAAAGAAGATTTGTACAGGGATTCATTAAACTCCCTAGTGAAGTTCTTGTGAACATTGCAATATAGCAAGGGACTTTGTTATTGGTGCTATCAAATGATCCAATATGTTTTGAAAATAATTTGCTACATTTTGTAACAATCTCACTTCCCCAATGAAAATAGATAGGTACACTGACAGACGGGCATCAATTTTGTTTGATTATCAGGAATATTGCAACATTGTTGTGATCAAACAGGGAGTTGTAAATTATCTGTACAAATCTTATTTGCACCCACAGTAATAACTGTACCATATTTGCTCTATTAAAATCTATTAAATAAATGCAAGACTACGATCAAAATATGATGTAGCATACAATAAGCGCATTTTTTTTCTATTACATGTGCTTCTATTGGTGATGCACTTTTAACATGGATTTGGTGATCAGGCACCAGTCTGGTGATCAACTAGAATTGTACTGTGAGGTCACACATTTACAGAAGCCAATTAATGAATGCTACATTGTCAACATGTTGTTTTCTGTGATATAATCTGCTGCTTGAGAAGTTCTTAGTGGATGTAACTAACTTAGTTGTGTTGTGACAAGTGCATTAAATAATTGTACACTGTAGTTTGGTAATCAATGTACATGTGTGTATTTTGATGTTAAGTAAGTTGTATTTTAACTACAGCATAATGTTTTAATTATTCTGTATATAAATGTTTATAGAAAATGTATCTGCTCATAGTCATGTCTGAAAATTGAAGGTCAAGTAATATTACATACATGTATGTATGTATGTATGTATGTATGTAATTTTGATTTTAATGTGTATATTTTTTTTAACAAGTGAAATTCCTGCTTGGTTTAAATTGCTTGGAACAATAATCAAAGAAAAAAAGTTGTTTTGATGGTAATGTATATATCTATTCTAATATATTCAAGACACTGTATGTATTTACATATAAAATAATAAAAATCAGAATAAATATTCAGATGTCATAGTGCATATATATTTTTTTAGTACACAAAGGCAGTATCGCATTCACTGTAATAAAAGCACGTAGACATGAATAAGTGGCAGGAGTATCTATGGTCAAATTAAGTTTCATTGATTCAGTGTACAATAAATGCAATTTGTTCAAAATGTGTTTCTAATGTATAGCAGATATTATATTAGGCAATTATAATTGTATGTACTTCCTTCGTGCATACTTTCTTGTATCCTCATAATAACCTTATTATTATACATCTTTTCTTTCCAAGGATACATCATGGGAATGCCAAAATCCAAAAAGTTAAGAACAGAATCAGCAAACTTCTTTGTTTGGAGTTCGGTCAAACCCATGTGGCAGCCATGTTTGTTTTTATTATTAGAGGACGCTTATGCACGTAATCATTCCATATTTGAAATTCGCATTTCCTAATATGGTAGGATGAAAATACCCTGTAAAATACCACAAAATTACAGAACGCTGTAACTTGTGCCGTTACGGTGACAGATGTATAATAATACCTCTCATTTGGATCAGCTGATTTTTGCTAAAACTTTTTTCTCTTCAATTCGACCACCTGGCAGGATGCCGTAACTCCTCTTAATTGGTTCAGCTGATTTTTGCTAAAACTTTTGCTTCCTCTTAAATTTGACCAACTGGCAGGAAAAGTCCAAATTTTGATGTGAAGTTTTATGTTTCTTATTGACTGGAAATAAAACCAGTTTGATATTTGATTTGGTTTCCATGTTATACATTGTCATCATTTACATGTGCTTTACCTTTAAATGAAAGTTCAGGGCATGGTATAATTGGCAAACTATCCGTTGTTCATCGCTGGTTCCCTGTGATATTTAACTCGCAGTCAACTGCCATACAATTGATAATTACCGATATTTACTACCGCTGTATGGAGGCAGCCATCTTGAATAAGTTTTAGTTTCTAGCTATATTCAAGTTGGCTGCTCCCATATAGTAAATATTGCTAAATTAGTCACATTTATTTTATTATCATTTGTATGCCTACTGACTGGCTCATCTATGCAAAAAGGTTACATATGATTTATTCCAAATTGATACATGTGTTTTAGTATGCACCGATAATTTGGATCTGCTGGGAAATTGAATTGCCACACATAATAGTTTTGAGATATGAAACAAATTCAAAAATACATGATATTCACGTATAAATGCTTATTGATATTTGACCTAGTTAATTCACCAGGGAGATAATGAGTTTGGTGTTTCTGTATCTGTATGAGGAAAATTGCAAAAACTTATGAGTGGATTTTTATCAAATTTAGTACAGGGGTACCTTGCAGCATGATTAGTTTTATGAAAATGTCTATGCATATTAAGTAGGTAATTTGCATATTTTATTTCAGCCTGTGTAAGCAAAAACTTCAGAACGTATTTTGATCATATTTGATATATATTGCGTAGTGCATAGTATCGGTTGACTGAGAATCTTCTAATACCATTGCTGTTTCACTGACTGTTGGGATTTTTCATTTTCTAGATATAGTTTTATAAAACAAAAATTTGTATTTACACAGGAGCTTTGCAGAGTTTCACTTTTATTTTTGAAATAGACCACTGTAATGGATCAGTACAGTTTATAAATTTGTCATAATACTCCCATAGTCATTCACCTTTCCAATATTACTTTTATTTTACGAAAATAAACCTGTATAACCATTTTCCATATAATTCATCTTATTTTTCCTTTGGTCAAAAAATTATTGAAAATAAAAATGATTGCTAAAATTAAAATAATGGTTTAAATTGTTAAAACTTATTACTACAACTTTTTTATTGGAGAATGAAAAATATTGCTGAATTGTGTTCTCCTTTTTGAATGTATATTTTTTTATTCTGAAGTTGAATGGCTGATCACTTAGGAGTAGACATTACCGTATCGTAAGATTATTGCTGAATTGTCACAAATTATTCAAGCTGAAAAAAATGATTTGAACGTACCAGGTATGTAATGTCACATTTTGGCAGTTTGTAAGTGCGCCCTCAATCTAAATAGAGAGAAAGCAAGTGAACGCAGTACTAGTAATTCGCTGGAGTATGAAAGGTACTAACGGATATCTTCCATGGCTGGAGGTTTGTTGTAACTCACATAACAATACAAACAACGTTTTTTACT